ATCTTTGAGAGATTTTTAGGCAAGGTTGCAAATACTCATTTCAGCTAAAACAATGTTTTGTTAAATTATGAAATAATTAGATGCTATGATCATATTTTGAATTGGTAGGATACAAGAAGAGGTTGCAAAGAATGTGTTTGACACATTAAACCTGTTTATTTCACTTCATGAGAGTCACATTCAGCGATTTTTCACACACTCACTTCAGCGATCAGAAAATCGCTGATTGTGACTCATAGAATGCAAAATTTACAGGTTTTATATTTAAAACGCATACTTTGTAACCTCTTCTTGTAAGCTACAAGTAAAGCAAGCCATCATACCATCTTTTGGTTTTATAATTCCGAAAAACATTATTTTAGCTGAAATAAGTATTTGCAACCTTGTAGGATCGATTCTTTATTTAATTAAATTACGTAAAAATCAATCTTTCCGTTCGATCTTTTCGATCTTCAAATACTTAGCTCATGAATACGAACACTTTTAAAAGATTAGTATCACTGCCTACTATTCTCAAAAAAGCACGTAAACGTGTTTTAGGATCGACCTGGATCACACATTTTAGTTATCTTGCAAAGTACACGTTCTGTTTATTTTAATTTAAATGTCCGGGTTAAACGACCGTCCAGTATTCGGTGCATTAAGGTAATTCAGCATTATGAAGAAAAGATCGATCCTGTATATATCGATTCTTTTGAACCGTTTCGTAATAAAATCGATTCTCCAAGATCGATATTTTACTAAAGATCGCCGAATTTGGAGATTTGGAGTAACTGGTAGATCGCTCACGCATGATAACACCAACAATCAATACGAAACTATCGATTTTAAATTGGCTTACTATTTGACTAGCCTATTGGTCCCAAGCAAACGATTAACGTATCCCATTCATGTCGAAATTCTAGTACTACACAATGTTTGTTTGATTCGCTATGAAAGTTTGACAGATAAATTGAGGGGTTAGTGGATTTTCCTATGTTTCGAGGGGTGAATCGATTAGCTTGGGACCGAAGAGAGGTACCAGAGCTGAGCCAAAAAGTTGAGCACGTTTCTTCGGGACCTTCTCGTCTTAGAGTTACCTCTATGATAACACTACCATAGAGGTAACTCTAAGACTAGTAGGTCCCGAAGAAAATCATTATTATTTTTGGCTCACTCAGTACCAGAACAACGGTCCCAAGCAGTCCCAAGCTATTTCACTCACCCCTGCATGTTCTGCATGAATCCACACACCCCTGATGTTATCTGTCAAACTTTCATAGCGAATCAAAACAAACATAGTGTAGTAATAGAATTTCAACTAGAATAGGGTACGTTAATCGTTTGCTTGGGACCAATAGGCTACTAAAGTGGTGAGCCAATTTAAAATCGTTAGTTTCGTATTGATTGTTGACACTACCATCAGATAGGGGAAATTTTTCCCTACCTGTTAGTGGTGTAAGTATGCGTGGGTGAAGTATCACTTACGCCAAACCGACAATAAAATGCGTTGTCTACAAAAGCTGATACGTCCCTTCGAAAAAGAAATCGAGATTTGTAGCACACCGGATCGTTATCACGGTTGATCCACTTCGGAATGCTTGCACCCTTGAGGCGACGGGGCTCGCTACCAGCTGCCAGTAGCTAGTGATCTCGACGGGAACGGGGTGAAAACTCGTGAATATGAACCTTCCTACTGTTACTACCTACTCACTCGCCGTCCGAGGCTAAATGAACTGACGCACGACAGCAAAGCTATTTTATAACTTTTCAGGTTCAAGTAGAACGATGTGCAACCATGTGGTACTCGATTATGACGACTGGATTTGGAGAGAACGCGAGGGAGAACGTTTATTTCATGAAAACAGTGAAAATGATCACTTTTTATTTGTACATTTTTCAACGGTTTTTTATGATAAATTGGAAAAGCGTTTACTGTAGCAAATTTTGAGAGCTATTTCCTATCGATTGGTGTATTTGGATTTTAATTTCATCTATAAATGACAAAGCTATAAGCGGTTAAAACCTTACACCTTTTCGTGACGGTCGCAATTTAAGATTTTCGATTTACCCCCAGTACCTTCCCGTAAGACGTAGTCTACGTTAAAAGGACAACAACACCATCGGGTAGGCGAGAATTTTCCCTACCTGATCATTGGTGTCACTAATGGGGATTCCAAGAGGGCCAGGCCGCCTCCACAATTATCTAGCCCTCCACCCCTTCCGAATTTTTGGTATTTTTTTTTTTTGACTCACCGGTATTTTGTCACGCTTGTCAAGTTACTATTTAACAGCGATTAAAAAAATTGTACCACAAACAAAGATTTATTTTAAAGTCCTACATGTTAACTACACTTCTTATGTTCTGGATTAGAAGAAACAATTTTGAGAAATTATATGATATCGATATTTAAACGATAGCATAATAAGACGTCTTCAGGCTCTACAAATTGGCCATGAGCCCAGGGATTTTTCTTTAAATTCTTGGAACTTTTAAGAAGTTCAGGCAACATCGTATTATCTAAGGAAACTTAGTTGAAATTCTTGGAACTTCATGGATCTTCAGAAAAAAATCGTAGAAAAAAGGAACTTGGAAAAGTTCTGAAAACTGCGTAGAAGTGGAAAATTCGTAGAAGTTAAGGGAACATTATTTTATTTTAGGGAAGCTCATTAAGCCATTGATTGGGAACCTCTATATAATTTCAGGGAGCTTTTTTGAAGTCTCATGGACTTGGAATAGTTGTGGAATTACGTACAAATTCAAGAAATTTCGTTCGTGGAACTTCGCAGAAAATAATCGCGAAACGTAGAAGTGCGTCAAACTTTATAGAATTTGTGAATTTCGTAGAATTTTGAGGAGCTGCGTTAAACATTATATAAGTGTAAGGAATTTTGAAAAAGTTCAGGGAATTTTGTAGAAGATCTCAAAATAGTTCAATAAACTTCTAAGAACTTCAGGAATTCTCGCTTGAGCTTAGAAGACTTCGTTGCAACTGCCAGAAATCTTACTTAAAAAAGATCAATGAACTTCTTGGAGGTTTTGGGAACTTTGTTAAATTCCAAGGAACTTTCTGAATGTTCAAGAACCTTTGTAGATGTCTTAGGTGTCTCTCCAGCAGTTCAAAGATGTTCAGTGATCGTCGTAGAATTAAGAGAGATGAAAAAATATGAAATTTGGAATAAATTCAGGGAACTTCGTAGAAATTTATTCTGTGTACACTTTACCATTGAAACATGCAGCCAGAATTTTAGAAAAATATAAAATTCAAACTCGTAGCATTTAGTTTTGGTTCCTATGTTAGAGATTTAACTCATAATGAAATATTCAAAAAAGAAAAAAAAAACTAGTTGCAAAATTCATAGATTACCCTAATAAAATTACCACACCCCAACGATAACCCACATGATAGAACTATTCCACAAATGGTTTCGATGATACCCTGAACACGTTGTTAAGCAAAATAACCATATAAATTATATAAGGGTATCTCTGAGAATTTTCTTAAGTTTGAGATGCTTAAATTTATGAGATCCAGACGCTATGTGATGTCAATACAATAAGCCTGAACAAACGATCATTGCTTGTTCGAAATCAGTAAGCTGTTAAGGCTCCCCCAATCAAGGTCCCAATCGTTGTTATGAAATAAATACATATAATCAAATTTATTGATTCACCATTAAAATAATAGTAAGCCTCAATGTCATATTATTGGTCACAAAAGAAATGTACCCAAAAACAAGTTGCCTTGACGCAATTTGATTGAATAGCATCTTCGTGAGGCCCCCCTAGGCCCTCTCCAGATAAATTTTCTTGCTAAGCCAATGTACCCGATAATGTTGTTGGTTTGCGTGAGCGTACGTCGGTTCGCCCGAAAAGGGCTTATAAAGTTTGGTTTACAAAACATAATAGGCCCTTTTCAAATGTTACGCGAGAAGTCTGCACATTGTAGACAAAATACGCTTATCAGTAGTAGATTTAATTGGAAATTACAAATATTTGGCTGTATATGGTGTTCTGGTGTACCTTATTAACACTCCGAACACGATGCTTCCGGTAAAATGTGTAACGGCAAACTTGCAATATTTGAAGAATCATAGCTCAGCCATTTATTGACTACTTTTAAATCTATTGGTGCCATTCAAAACCTTATGCATTAAAAATTTATTCAGTATCAATTGATTTAAAATCTATCTATCTATGGCTGAGCACTGATTTTTCAAACATTGCCATTTTCCCACATTTAACCGGAGGCATCGTGTACGGAGTGTTAAAATTTGGGGAACAGAACATGAGAAATTGCTATTAATTTGATTGATATAAAATATCAAAAATAATATCAGAAAATCTGAGTAATAGCAAAGTCAGTTGTTGTCATATCTTAAGAATAACAAAAATCATAGCAAATTAATATCACATTTTGCTATTATATATCATCGAGCTATTGGTATGTTGTTTGAATTTATCATAATAATAGTTTATTCTGCTATCGGATCATAATTTGCTCTTTAATTCATGATACCAAAACATCATATAAATAGCGAACTATGCATTGATTGCAGAATAAGTTCAAATTTTATATTATTTTGCTCTGATTTTGCTATTCCCCTCTACCCGGGATCTAATGAAAAACATTTTTATAGTGAAGTAAAGGGAAGCAATCCTGCTGTTCACTAAGGGAAATTATTAAAATTTCTGCTGTAATTTGACCATTTTAACTTTCGCATCAGGTTAAAAATGTAGATATATTCGGAGACAGTCGAATTCTGAAATTCCTTCTTAGTTTGGTATTTAACCTGTAATTGCTCAAACAAATCATGCTGTAGACATCATTCAGGTACAAAATTTTCTTAGACTCTTAATTAATTACAAATTGGTTGGGGTTCAGCAATTGTGCGATATAATGTAGTTATCTTCTGCAGCTCTTCAATTATGTTCAGCTAATTTATATATTTCAATTTCCATATTAGAATGGAAATAATTGAAACCCCAAATTTCATTAGGCAGACCTTTAATTACTTACCTGAAACGTCCAGAACACAGCGAACCGTATAACATTTCTTCGGTTGTCCTCAAACTGTTTGTCGCGTCCAATTTTCACAATTCGATAGAGCAGATATCCCGACAATCTCGCACCCCATAAGCAAACAAACACGGTCACCATCAGCTGTCGGCTATCGTAAGGCTGCGAAATGGGGAAAGAGAAGCAAAAAGACATCTTTTATGTAAGTTATAAGACCATATATACGACCACGACTGGCCGGAAGACAAATATTGTGCACGCCATGATAGAGCGGCATAGCGTTTTTATATAGACATCTACAATGTGACGGCGGGAAGGGACGAAGACAGCGAATTGTACTAGGGATAAATCAGATGCATGGCTATGTAGCCGCCTTACTGAAACAGCCATGCTGGACTATTATGATTATTCAAAGATGAAATATTGGTATATTTGCACCAACGTCAACAACTACGCCATAATCCACATAAGCTCATGCAATCATCGAGCAACGATCTAATGTTTGCCAGCAACTAGAGCGGTTGCACGACCGATGAGATCGACTCAAATTTGAGTGGTTCATCACTCAAAATCGAAAAAAATGTCTTCGCTTTTCCTAAAAAATCTGCTCGAATATGAAGAATATCGACTAAAAATTAGTGAAAGATCTCTCGATTTTTCTCATATTCGAGAAGTTTTTCCTGAAAATTCGAGGAAAATTTTACTCATTCTGTGAGTGACCTACGATTTTGGGAATTTGAGTGAACGGAACTAAAATATGAGTTAGATTCAACGGCCGTGCGCTATTTGAGATTGGAAACCGAGCAAAAAATAACCGATACATTCCACTCAACCTGATTTACTCTTGCTGATGCAAATGCAGTTGGTTGGCAATGCACATTCGAGAGTTGAGTCTACCATGAGGAAAATGATCGCCTTGCTAATTCGTTATTTTAAATGTGCTGGAAAGAAAATGTAATTTGTAAGTACATATATCGATTTTAATAGTTACTAGCAGAATTTTTCGTGTCCGTGATTTGAATGAATCAATTACTCTACAGCACCAGACAGTTTCGTTTTTAATTATTATTTTTATATATATTATGAACACTTTTTGGGTCATTCGTGACTTATCCAGGATGCGAATGGAACTCGTGAATTTGGCGTGAGAGGTATGGATGTTAATCACTACGCCGGAGTAATGGTTACACCACAGCGAATAGACGTTGAGGCTCGATCGAAACATATGTGAAGATTTACATTGCACTCAAGCAACGTCCACGTCGAGTGCCCAACATACACCCTTTTTGACAAATTTGTCATTAGCGTTGCTAAAACTACCCGTGACACTTAGTGTCGTTAGCAACCAGTGGTAATTTTCAACAGAAAATTGATCGACTCTAGCGCCAAATAAGCCTTAGTGGCAAATTTTTAGAGCAAATCAAAAGTTGCCAGCGCCACGTAACGGCCATGTTACCAGTTACTAAAATATAAGTTTACACATGTTTCTGACTTGAGTTGGACGTCTGTTCTCTGTGGTTACACAGAATACAAACAATTCAAGATAGAGTTTGGAAGTCTTCCCCTATACCCGTTGGTATACACAGAGAAACAAAATACTCTAAATTTAAGTTGGTTGGTTGGTTGGTTGTCTTTATTAAGGAGATTTTCAGCCAGACGCTGGTTCATCTCCGTAAATTTAAGTTCTTTTAACTTAATTTTGGGTAATTTTGAGTTTTGCATACCACTCTCAATTTTTGTTGTTATCAAAAACGGAACGAGTGATTCGACTTTCTCATGAATATCGTTCAATAAGCTACTAGTGAGTATATGAGATATTCTCAAATTTGAGTCAATTGAACTTGATTTTGGGTAGAAAATACTCACGAGTAAGAAATTATGTTTGCCGTAGTGAAATGTAAACTACTATAAGTGGTTTACTGAAAATTGGCTTATTGAACGGGCATGGGAGATGAGTGAAAAGAACTTAATTTTGGGTAATTTTTCGGTTCCGTGTAGGTTTGCTTTGAACTACAGGTATACCTCGATATAACCATAGAGGTAACTCTAAGACCACTGGGTCCCGAAGAAAATCATTATTATTTTTGGCTCACTCAGTACCAGAACAACGGTCCCAAGCAGTCCCAAGCTATTTCACTCACCCCTGCATGTTCTGCATGAATCCACACACCCCTGATGTTATCTGTCAAACTTTCATAGCGAATCAAAACAAACATAGTGTAGTAATAGAATTTCAACTAGAATAGGGTACGTTAATCGTTTGCTTGGGATCAATAGGCTACTAAAGTGGTGAGCCAATTTAAAATCGTTAGTTTCGTATTGATTGTTGATATAACGTAACTGTCACTTTTGACTTCCATCGTCAATATCTCGCTAATAACAATTGAATCATACAAATTAATATTACCAATAGATGTGGGATTATCTCATCTGTTCGATGGTATTATTAACTTGCTTGTTTGAATGATCGTTTACGAAAAATCAGCGATGGAAGTCAAAAGTGACAGTTACGTTATATCGAACTAAAAATCATCGAGAGAAGTCATTTTTTCAAAAGCTAAACGTCTCGTTTTCTTATGACAAAAGTACGCATTTTTGTGCAAAAAAACTTATGAAATTTTAGGTTTACTCCATAGATAATAAAAAAAAACGAAAATATAGAAAATACTAAATCGTGATGGTTTAGTAATGCTGAGCTATTAGGGTGAGGCTTGCGAGCTGTATGTTGATTGGAACGAGGGTAAATCGATTGGCATAGATGGCCCAGAGTGGTTCACGACGAACAACAAAACCCAATCAGTAGCGGTGCGGCTTTTTTCTCCTTCTTCAGTGAATCGAGGGTTCGTGAGGGCAACCTTGATAAAGACTGGAAATCGGTCGACAAAAAAATCGTTTCTTTCAGTCAAAATTCATATCACAAAAATCTTCTTATCTTTCTTAGAGATGAACTAGCCTAAGGCTAAAAATCTCTTTAAAAAAGCCTTAAAAAAAATCTTATCTTTCTTTTGGTAGTTCAATTCATATATTTAAAGGAAAAAATGTTCGTTTAGTCTTTTGGTTTGCCAAATCCGAACTGCCGTGCCTTCCGCTTAACCCGTTCCATGAAATTTTGCACAGTGGTCTCATCGACCTTATTCGCCGCCGAACGCCAGTTAGATTTAAACTGCTGCTCGTTTTCAATGGATTTATTAGTTTTTTGAGATTCCGTTTGACCAAGGCCCAATACCGTTCGATAGGGTGGAGTTCTGGGCTTTTGGGAGGGTTGTGGTCTTTGGGTACCACAACCACGTTGTTCGCATCGTACCACTCCATTGCCTTTTTTCCCATAGTTGCAGCTCGTCAAGTCCGGCCAGAACAGCACAGGTCTATTATGTTGCTTTAGGAATTGTAGCACCCGCTTTTCCAGGCACTCCTGGACGTAGGACTCTTGATTGATAGTTCCAGTTGTAATGAAAATGCCGTTTTTTAGACCACACGTGCATATGTCCTGCCAGACGAGATATTTTTTCGGGAACTTGGATAGTTTGATGGTTATGAAAATTTCAGCCACCTTCCCTTTTGCTGATGTGGTATAACGACACAGTCGAACTTTGTGACCAGATTCGTTTACAGCTGCTTTGCCGACGTGTTTTGTTTGTAATCTTCACCTTCTTAAGCGTCGACAACCCGGTTCGTTTCTTGACCCTCTGCACAGTAGTATGGGAGACATTGAGCTTGCCAGCGACGTCCCGGATGCACAGTGGTTGAAATCGTCGTTTTTGCGCGCTTAATTAATAACATCTTTATTCTGATATTTAGGGCTATGGTGTCTTCTGAGAAGTTTATCAATAAATGTATGCGCTTCTTTTGGGCTTTTCAGCACAAGGATTAATCCCCCTTAAAGTGAGATAGAAAATTTATTTTTTCAATTTTACAATATACAGGGTTGGTGTCTTCACAAAAGTTCGAGAAATCATTCTTTTGAATAACCTTGTCGAAGACACCTAAACCGTAACTTGCTCACTTTTGGAGATATGTTACGTTATTTGTCGACAACCCCTTAAAAGTGGTTTTTTAATCATAACTTTTTTATTATAACTTTTTCGACTTTGAGATGTTCTAAAAAGTTATAGACAACGCTAAAATACAAAACTTTGTCCAGCATAGCAACCCTGTAGTTTTTCAAATTAAAAAGTTATTATTTTTTTTTGTTTTTTTGGCCATTTTTTATGTACTTGTAACTCAATGTGGTGCAAAATGGTGCAAGTTATCAACCATGCATGTGAAACTACAAGTAATTTACTTTAAGATGATGGCAAAACTCTTAGACTGTAAGCGACTGTAAGATATGTTTAGTGTAAGTGCATTCAATCATTTTTAGTAAAAAATACGTACGCACATTTCATAATTTTTCGTTTTCTTCTATTCTGTTGATATTATTATTATTTATCTTTATTAGGGATTCTGTTGATAATCAAAAACTCCTGGATTCAAATATTTCACAACCTATCTATTTCATTCATTCTCGCTGTCATTCTCGCTGTCATTCTCGTTATCATCCTCGTTGTCATTCTTGCTGTCATGATGAAAATTCTTCAGAAGACTTTTTGCGTCCTCTGAAAACTATTTTTCCAATTTTTTTGGCCATCCACGAATGCTTGTGATCAAAGGATCAGATGACACAAGAAGCATATTGATGAGATCTCGATTCGTGGCTTGTCTCGAAACTTTTCGAGTGTTGAATTCACGGTACCTGTTTGTCGGATAAACATTGGTAATAAAATGCACATACATAAAATGTTTGTATTTACCTACCTTTTCCAATCTTTATTTCTCGCTTCCTGCGCTTCCTCAGAAAGTTGGCCAATCGGGACCATAAAATGGTTGATTATGGAAGACCCATGAACAAGGACTTTATGAACGCTTACTGGTAAATAATACCACGGGTATAAGGTGACTAATAAGCGGGCTGTCTCAATGCAATATTTGTCAAACGTTACTGTATCGATTTCATAACCTGATCCTATGGATTGAAGAATAGAACCACAGCGCTGGATGGCTATATGATCGAGTCCAGTGATCTCCGCTACCTTTTCAGCATTTGCAAAAAATTTACGAGCAAGGTTTCCGTTATTGGATGTTCCGGATCCTCCAGGTCGTGGTTGATCTACATTCATCCCCAT